AGTGCCTAGTCCAGTACTCTGTATAAATCAGGCATTCAAGTTATTTCTCTTGATGATGCCCAGGATGATGATGACAATGCCAGTGTTGGCTATATAGACAGGAAAACCTAACCCAGTGGTTAGGGACATTTCCAAGGCCACAGTATAGCTCCTTGTCTTGTGTGGCAAGCCTGCTTTCTCCTCCCCACCAGGCTCTGGCCTGCTCTAGTCCTCAGTCCAGCTGAGTAGGGATGCAATGTCTGAAATCCAGTTCACCAACCACAGCTGCACTGTGCAAAAGGGACAGAACAAAAAACCCATGAGACAACATTGTGGCTTTTGAAACAGGTATGTAGGCTCTCTTGTTTAATAGCAGTTAAAAGAGGAAAATGTACAAGAGGAATAAACATGCTTTTTCCACAGAGGAGCTTTCCCCTAACCATGCAGCCCATCTGCATCTGTAGCTTTACTAGTAAGTTTCAGAGAAAAAAGTTCCCTTTAGAGTTAAAAATGGATTTTACTAAATTTTCCTTATAAATGTGTAACTATCTGTGCAAAATAAAAAGGCCATTTTCAACACATTAGTGAAAAGTAATTGCGAATGCAGGCAAAAATAAAAACAAAAAAAAAAAAACCAAAACACAAACAAAAAGAGAGGCAATTGAAGTAGTCAGTAGAAGAGTCCCGGGTGAAGGGAGACTAAGGTATGTGTGTGGAGATTTCTGCAGCAGGCCCCAGGGAGTGTGCTCAGAAGCCTGATGAGGAAGGTCATGGCTAATGCCAATTTTGGGGGATAAAAGGCCCTGGGTCTGGGACTTGCTAAGCAAGCACTTGTCAAATACACAGTAAAGCTAGACTGACTTTGAGGACTAGGAGGCCTGGTATTGCAATGAGAACACTGGGCAACATGCCCTGGAAGTTGTACATTCCCTTTGTCAACAGGGACTCTCTGCTGGTTCCAATTTCCAGGTCCTGTTCTTCCTTACCCCCAGCAGCTTCATTTATAGTCTGCTCAAAGAGATTTTCCTATGAATGTTACAACAACATAACTGCTTATATTACTATTAAAACTCACTAGGGTCCCAAACCAGACTGCTCCTTCAGGAACACAGACCTGGTTTTCCCAAGAACTTGGCCAAACAAAGGTTCATACAGACCAGAGGCAGGTAGGCTTCCAGCCGCCCACGTTCTTGCCCTCTTATTGAGGCCCTGCAGGGTCCTTACTTCTACATCTCTGGCATCTGGGACCAGACCTGAGGAGTCTGAGGGGCATGGGCACACATGCTTTGCGTGAGTCCTCTCAAGGGCCCAGCTATAGGCCTATAGACACTTCTCTAATTCAAAAACTTTGACATTGCTGGTCCCTATTTTTGCCTTCCCCAGCCCACCAAAAGTATATCTCCACATACAACTCAGTAGCTGCATGTCGTTTTTGTTAGGGAAGAATGAAAACAGACTAAGAGGGAAGAGGAGATACACCAGAGGGTCCATCCTATGAGTCTTGAGCTTTTCTTTCATGAGATTTCCATGTTGAAAGTGCAGAGTAACCCCTATTCCTCTATCCTGTTTACCTTTCCTTCCATAGCGTAGTTCTTCCAGGGTACAGGCCTGAGACCAGCCCAACAATGATGACCCTCTAAAAAGACAAACACTGTGGTCTGCTTACACTTCTCTCCATTCCCACTTGGAAGTCTCAGCACTCAAAGCTAAATAGATCTTTCTGCAAACTGGGTACTAGTGAAGGACAGTGTTTTGGGTCCTTCTCAAGCAACAGGACTTCAGATTAGTGTAACCATTACTCATTCTTCAACAAAGACCAGGGCTTGATGTCACCTTGGCCCCTGCCTTCCCTTGGCTTATCAAATTCTGGGAAGCAGGTCTCACCCGTAGCCTGGTCTCTCCAGCTTTGAGGAAGGCTGTATGCCTGTATGCTCTTTCTTTTCCCTGTGGTTCTCAAGGTGTGTTAGATATGGTAAGGGTAGGGGTGGGGAATAAAAAAGGAAGTACTGCCCTTCCCAGGAGCAACTCAGTAGCTGACAAAGGTAGTGAAGAGTTCTGTTTGATGAGCCTCTCCTCTCACTAATCCAAGCTGGAAATGCCTGTATGGCTTATTTGTCATTGTTTGGCGATGCACAATTATACTCTTGCCAGTAGCCAAAATAGCATCTGCTGCCTACTGCTCTATCCTGCCTCAGAAAAATTAGCAGTGAAAGCCTTGGGTCAGTCTAGGCTAAAGAAACTGCCATTCTTGGGGGACTAGAGGGAAGCTGCCATCTTGCCACAGGCCATGCTTGTTCAACAGCCAATGAGAATCAGTGGATGAACCTCCAGAACTGTGTGCTGGTCTTTAGTGTACTAAAAAGTAATGTTTGCCAGGCCCTTTCTTTGCATCAGGAAGAATCAGCTTCATCTATGTGGTGAAAGGGGCACTCAAGAGTGAACAGGACATGCTTTATTGTCCTTTCACTTACTCACCCTATCTCCTAGTGCCAAGCACCACTGTTTGTTCCTAAGCCCTAGACCTAAGCTTTAGAGCCATGGATAAAAAGTGGCTCATCACACTAGGATTGACGATGCCACCATCTCTAGGATAATATGGATCATGTGATAATAACTTCTCCTGAGTCCCAGCCTAGCAATATCTCATGTGCTTGCTTATTCCTGTGCCTCTTTTACTATAGGGAAATGTTATATGAATACTGTACAGGGGTTAATAAAAAAATACATATGCTCTTTTGAAGAAGAATACACAAATGCAGCGTCAACCAGGGCTGGATCCCAGACTAGGGGGCTGTAGCAGGCAGCTTCTGTGGGTCTGGGGACAGCCTTCATGAGTGGTGGCTGCTGGTGAGTCCTCGGAGCTGCTTGGCCACAGCGTCAATCAGTTTCTGCTTGTCTCGCTCATTTTTCCGAAACTGTGCAAACATGTTGTTCTTGCGGCTAGTATCCTTCATCCTAAACAGAGAGGGAAAGAAAGAGGGCAGAGTGTTTGAGAAGACAATGGTGGAAGGAGATTTGCAGGAGGTAGGATGGCACAATGCATATTAACCCCGCCCCAGAGAGATGAGAGCCCAGAGTATTTCCACTGTCAAGCACGGACTCACCTACTACCCTCCCAACCTCAGTTACTTTTGGAAAATAGTCAAGAGCCAACTTTGGAGGGGCAAACCTTCTTAACCCTCATGCCCACCCTACCTAATTCATTCCCTTCTCTCCGCAGGTATGTACCTGTTGCAGGTGTCTGGTGTATGCTACAGCCCTGCCCTGCTGATCAATAGGCTCTTACAGAATTTTAGGATCTACTTACTACCTCATGAACCTACTAAATCCTGCTGGGACTGTAGAGATCGTATTTGAAAGGTAAAGCAGGAAAAATGCTCTTAACTAGCAATTCCAAGAGAACATGAATGACTGAAAGTCACTGTGTATTTCTAAACCTCACTCTATCTGCTTACTCTGGCCCATCCCTAACAAACTAAGGGCTTGACTGATGTCTTGTCTCAGGTTAAGGGCTGGTAGGCAGTGTGGTGGCTAAGAGGGTATGGTGCTAAGGAAAGCAGATATCAAAAGGCTGGGCCATATTCTCACTTGATAAACCAAGGCTTTATGCAAAAGAAGCCCGAGTTCTCAACGGCTGTCTATATCCTCAGACCTTTGACCTTTGGGTCATGCAAAGATGGAATATTCCTAGAGCACCAACCGTGGGCAGTTCTGGCCAGTGGTTCTGTCAGATGGAGAGCCCTAACTAGAAAGCATACACAAAAAAGTCAAGGCTAGGTGGAGATTGTCAAGAACCACCAAGTGTGACTAAGCCATTATGACAGAATCCGGGAACCTGTTATTCCCTGCAGAGGGCCTACAACCCCGGACATCTGTTGGTGACCTTTAACTCTGGCCTTAGCCTCTGCACAGCAGACCCAGAGCCCACAGCTAGTTTTAATGTTAGAGAATTGAGAACAGTGTCCAGACCAATATCTCCCTGGAATAGGGGTGGGCCAGTCTTCACCACCATGGCCCAGGGATGGACTAGCACTCTGACTTCACCGCTCCATAGGCTGCTGGAGATGGGCTAGAAGAGTGGAGGGGAAGGAACTGGGCACTGGGTTATAAATCACCCCCAGGTGCTTCCGAGGGGCCTTCACCAAACCTGGACCTTTTGGTTTTTTTCCTATGGGTGCCGTTTCACAGAGGAACAGATTAGAGGCCAGTGAGTTAATAGGCTAGAGATCCCACAAGGGCATTTATATCTGTATATATGATATAAATACATGAAGTGTGTGAGTGTGTGTGTGTGTGTGTGCCTAATTCCATAAGGGCATTATACGTGGCAAGGAGGTTCTGATGAGCACCACAGCTGTATGGCTGTGGCTGACAGTGACAGCCACAAACTAATTAGGGCTTCTCTCTCTGATCTAAGCTCAAGGGCCTTTAGGCTGGATTACTCATCCAGCAAACTCATAACACTGAATATAAGGTATAACCACCCACATGTGGAGGCCTGTGGTTGTAGGGAAGGAAGGAAGAAAGGTGACTGGGCTTGTTGAAAAGAAAGCACAGGGTCCTCAATGTTCTGATAATTTCTGTATTTGGTCCCTTAAATAGTAATTGCACAATTATGTTTGTGGAACTGGCCTGGTTTCAGATACCCCAGAGAAGGATTCCCTTTCTTCTGCTGGGTATACTATAGATCTAAACAACAACAATACAACACAAACAAACAAAAAGTTAAGAAAGAAGAAATGAAGAAGATCACTTTCTATATTCACGGGACATTCAGTTTAATGTCCTATGTGATCACTAATTTCATGACTCCTCAAAGCAGCTGAGGGAAGGCAGCCAGCTGGCTTTCAGCTCCCACAGGGAGGCTTCTGGAATACCTAGGAGAAAGGGAAGAAGAGGGTAGTCTCTGGACCCCAGAGACTAGGATTTCTTGGCCTTTAATGCCTGGAGTTGGAATTAGGCACTATAAAGATAAGCTCAAGTCCTCCAAGGGCTGATGGTGGCTTGCTGGTTTGTACTTAGGAGTGCTCCAAGCCAAGAGAGTCCTCCCATCTCTCATCCCATTCTGTAAGCCCAAGATCCTGTTCTACTTCAGCTATGGCCACCCCTCAATGACACAGGGGCCTCTTCTGTTTCCTGAATGTTTTCAGCAGGTTTCTATGTCTAACCCTGCTAAGAAAGGCCAGGTTCAAAAGGGAGAGACTGTTAAGCTCTGATGGTACCACTAGCTGTGGGGAAAGCAGGAATGGGACAGGTAAAGGGATTGATTCCTATGAGGCCGGGAGATGTGCATTTTAGTGATCCGGGTGGCCTTTGTCCTACTGTGCTTGGAAGGAGGTTTTTAAACTCTTCTGATTGCTACGGATATGCACATAGCTTTATTATTGGTTAGGCCTCCAAACTGGTAGAGAGAAGCTGATTATTTAAACCTATTGTTGATCTCCAGGAAGTGGATGAACCTTTACTTCCTGGATCTAGAGATTCTCAGGAACAGAGGAGTAAAGGACTGCTGGGAGAAGTAACTGACTAAAGGGAATCCCACAGCTCATATGGACACATGATCATTCAAGCACCCACTCAAAGGTCAAAATGTTGTCCCCTTTAAGCTGGGCACTGAGAACTCTGGGATTAGGCCTTGCCTCTAATAAAGAGTCTTTATGGGAGATGTGGGTTCCAGATCTTAAAGCCACGGGCCTCACCACCGGGAAGTAGGGGAGACTGCTGAGTAGCTCCCTTTTGTCAGGGCTGAATTTCAGGCCTTGTACTACCAAGAGTGTGCCAGAAGTTGAGCAGGAACAATCCTTTACCTGGTGCTATGGGGAAAAAAATCCCTGCCACCACTCCCAGCCCCAAAGGAATTGGTAAGCCATGGGTCACTGTAAGGACCAAGGATAGAGAAGGCAGCCAGCCAGTTGGCAGCAGGCTGGTTTAGTAGATTAGTATGTCACGGTGGAGACAACTCACAGGCTAGGGATTTTAGTGTCGGCATTAGTATCAATGAAGAAACCAGAAGGACTTGCCTCACAGTGATGGAAAAGGCCCAAGGGAATAACATACTTACTCTCTAGATATCCTAGGGAGGAAGGTCAGTGGGAGAGAACCATGGGAAACAAAGTTAAAATGGAAACATCAATCCTTGAAATGGTCAGGAGAAAACTGTACTTTTTTTTTTGAGACAGAGTCTCACTCTGTTGCCTGGGCTAGAGTGCCGGGGCGTCAGCCTAGCTCACAGTAACCTCAAACTCCTGGGCTCAGGTGATCCTCCTGCCTCAGCCTCCAGAGTAGCTAGGACTACAGGCATGCGCCACCATGCCCGGCTAATTTTTTCTATATATTTTTAGTTGGCCAATTAATTTTTTTCTATTTTTAGTAGAGACGGGGTCTCACTCTTGCTCAGGCTGGTTTCGAACTCCTGACCTTGAGTGATCCACCTGCCTTGGCTTCCCAGAGTGCTGGAATTACAGATGTGAGCCACCTAGGAAACTGTACTTTTTATAGTCTCTTGACTCCAAACACATACCCCTGGCATCCTGTTCTTGTCTACCCTCCCTCTGTTCATCTTCTCTCCCACTATCATATTATACAGTAAGAGGGATATACCCTAGCCTCTTTCTGCTTAAGACTCCACTCTGACCTCCTAGACCAGGCATCCTCAAACTACGGCCCGTGGGCCACATGCCGCCAGCCTAGGACATTTATCCAGCCTGCTGGGTGTTTTTGCCGCAGCTGCCTGTCCTGCTTAGCAGCCGACTCATCCCGGGCCCACAGTGTGCACTCTCCAACGGTCTGCGGGACAGTGAACTGGCCCCCTGTTTAAAAAGTTTGAGGACCCCTGTCCTAGATTCTGAGCCTTGCCTTCATGGGAGTTAAGACATGCTTGACTGGCCATATGTGTAGACTTTTTATACTGCCCACATGTAGGGCACTCTTCTAAGCAGCTGGCGATTAACTAGTTTTTCTGATTGCAAGAGAAAGCTACCCTTTTACATGGGTCTTATTTGTTGTCTGCCAGCTCTCACCTAGATTAGCAAAAGCCTTAGCCAGGCTGCAATGCATGGCAGGCAGTTCTCAGCTTCTAGGTGACATATTGGTTAGCCCTGAGATGTTCTAGAATTGGCTAATCCAATTTCAGTGGTAGCGCCTCTGCTTTAGAGAGACTACAGCTCTATGGCAGGGCAACCTTTGCCAGCTAGTGACTGCTTAAGGCAAGAATTAGACACTTTCTCCAATACAGCTTTATTGGGGTAGTCAGCACAATAAAGTTCAATTTGGCAGGGACAGGAGTTTGGGGCAGGTAAAGGTTTCAATAATTCCCAGAGCTTCCCTGCTACGAACCAGAGAAGCCACCTGTTCTGGGAGGCTGTTCTATCTGACATCATACCCCAGATGACTGGGGCCAGCCTCACTCTGTTCACCAGGCTGGCCTACCCCCAAACTAAGCCATCTTCCTTTCTTCTCTGGCCATCTTCTAGTTAAAGACACTTTATCCCATCAAGCTACAAGACAATGTCAGAGTTCACTTCTGACCTGTAATTGGCCTAGCTTGTTAGGGGCTCAGGAATTAAGAGTCTATAAGAGGAAGACTGGCCTGCCAAGTCCAATCATTGAGACAGCTAATAGCACCTAAGGCAATTTCAAGAACAAGGCTGTCTTCCAAGGTACTGGCAGTGGCAAAATTACCTTCCATGCCAACCCCCAACCTCCATCTCCCCACCTTCCAACACAGACCACTGGGCTGGGTACTCACTTCTCGAGCAGAGTCAGAGCTGTCTTTGGGTTTACCCGGAGGTACTTGCAGTTGGGCTGACCATAGTCAGCAAGGTAGGTTGACCAATCCCACTGGATGAAAAGATCCAAAAGCTGTAAAATATTCAAAGCACCACCACAGGGATTAATCAGAAAGATAAGACAAACCAATATTATAGAAACCTCACCATCCTTCACTATCAGTTAATATATTTGATAAATAAAAATAAAAATGTAATAAGAGAAAGAATGGCTACAGACTGTAATTCAACTAAGAAAACAAATGAGTAAACATTAGAAGAAGGCAGAATCATCTCTGCCATAAGTGGCATGGTAATGTTGCTAAGATTGCATGCCAGCAATTAGCTCTTGGAGAGAAACTAACTCTGTAAAGAGAGAAACTAGCTCTGTAAAGAAACTAACACTGGACTGAATCAAAACACAAGGTTATCAAAATAATAACTCACTTGTTCATTTAATAAATACTTATTCTATGCCTTTCACATGGCAAGCACCATTCTAGGAGCTCAGTATCCAACAATGAATAAACAAAGGTAGATACAGTGTAGTGCCACATATGTAACTGTTTGAACTTTGAGGTTAAAAGTTCCAGGTTCAAGTACCAGTTCTGTGAGTTGCTGCATTGACTTTGCCCAGGTGACTCAGTTAATACAGACATACACACATACATGCCTACATACAAATAGGACACACAGAAACATTGAACTGAGGCATAAATGGGTCATGAAGCATTCATAAGAAGTAGTATGTGTTACACCTATGCAGACACAGGCTGAACAGATAGAAACCAGGGCCATGGTAGATCAGGGCTGAAAAATAGGTTTAGTCCATGATTGATGATACAGAGTCTGGAATTGGGGGTATGAATGTTAAAGAGAAGTGCCAAGAACTGGATGTTTGAGAAAAGAAAGAGTTTTCTGAGTGTAAGCTGAGTTCTGACATGAGAGGAGATTTTTATCTTGGAGAAACCAAATCATTTTTGTCAAAGGCTTTCCTTCCCTTCCAGTTTTAGGCTCAGGCACCACTCTAACAAATATTCATAAACTGTAAAGTAAAACAAATAAACAAAATCACTGCATTTCAAAGGTGAGGTGGTTAGCTCCCCTCTATAAGCTTCTAAAGGGAACACAGTCCCAGACTCACATCACTGCATAGAAGGGGGGGTCCTCATATAAATACTTTTTTATTTAAAACATTCCCTATTTCTCCCTTTCCAAGAGATAACTGCTGGTGGAGACAAGTAGATGGCTGTCTCTCTGTGAAGAACAAAGGCTGAGAGGCTAAGAGTGGCCGTCAAATCCATTGCCAGAGCCCAGGCTCCAGGCACACCTTCCTCCTGTGTCTGTTTTCACTGCGCAGTTGGGCAAATAGGCAGTGTGGCCCTTGCCCTGGTTGGCCAAGGCTCCACTTCCATCCGTTCTCTTAGAATAGCTGTTATGAACTTCCTCAAGCAAGATGGGAATTGGCTGAAGTCCCAAACCTAAAACCGAGAAAAGCCCCTATACCCTCAGCCAAGAAAGGGATGTTAAAGATGAGAGACAGAGGGAGGGAGAGAGACAGACATGCTGGTTGGTCTGGGCCAGTGTGGTCCCAAAGGGCCTTCTTAGGCCTCCTTTAGGTCATGCCTATTTTTGTTGGCAAGTAAAAAGGCTTCCACCACTTGCTTCTGCTGACCCAAGTCATCACAGAATTCTCCTTTAGAAGTTAATTTCCCCTGACTTTCTACTCTAACTTTGATATTTCTGTCCTATCGTGTCCAAAGACCACTCAAGATAGCTCCTCTTTACTTGCTCCTAGAGATCGTCACTTGGAGTACCCAACGTTTCCAGAATTCTTCCAGTACTATGCTTTACAGGTTTGATTATGCTTTTACCTCAAATACCATGGCAAAAACTATGAAAAAGGATAGCAATTTCTCAATTAAATTTTTTTTCATAAATTAAAAAAAAAACACTTGGAGTCTTTTACTGTTTGCCTACTGGGGAGCTAATAAAGGAAAAGTGAATGAATATCAAAAAGTCTAATTGGAAAAACCAGAAAACCTGCATTTCTTAAAGCTATTTTAGATACTACTTTTCAGATATGGACATACACATACATGTAATACGACTACCTTATCTTTCTATAAAATTCCTAAATTCTGTGATGGAGTTAATAGTATCAGTGTTTTCTGATTTATTGCTAAGAATGCCATGTCTTTCTGGTTAACGACACCTGGGTAAATCACTAATAAACAGTGGAAGGAAGTTCATGGCTTAGCTCTAAGGGTTTCCTTTTTTATCTTCTTGCCAAAGTCTCTCAATGCCAGTGCTGAGCCTAAAAGCTCTGGAATGACAAGCTACCTAATTTATTCCATTTTAAGCATAGAAACGATGTAACTCTCTTAAGTTCAACCACTATGAGCCTATAGATTACACTCTGGGTTTGTGTCACTTGACAGTATTTTAGAGTAGCCTAACTCTACGTCTGTGGCCTTCTGTGAGATGAACATAGAGCAGAATCTGAGGGTACTTAACTAAGTGAGCTGCCTAGAGGCACAGTTCTACTGGATTCTACATAACAGTGTTAGAATAAGAGGCCAAGAAAACCAGCAGGCCTGTTTGTCCATACAGTACTTTGATTTCCAGACCATGGCATTCAAAGATCAATCAGGCCCTTCTAGCCTGGTTCTCCATATACAACTACCTTGTTGGATCACAGTAAATTCTCTATGAAGGAGTAGAACCCTTAGTCATCGTTAATGATCCCTAATGATTGCTTTTAACCTTCCATTTGGAAATAATTTCAAACTTATCAGAAAGTTGAAAGAATAAACATAGTACAAAGATTACCATATACCTTACACCTAGTTCCATCCATTATTAATATGAGTACTTTACCCCACATGCTCCCTCATTTGCATTCTCTCTTTTTCTTTTTACATACACATGCACATGCACACTATTTCTTTTCTGAGTCTCTTGAAAGTAAACTGCATATATCATGGCACTTTATCCCCAAATTCTCTGGTGTTCTAAGAATTAGAGACATTTTCTTACATAATCACAGCAATTTTCCACTTTAGTTAATTTAATATTGATACTATTCATATTCTAATTTTGTAAATTGACCCAGAAATGTCCTCTATAGCCCCCCCTTCTTTTTGGTCCACTATATGATATAGTTTCAGATCAGGAATTACATTTTGTTGTCATGTCCCTTTAGTCTCCTTTAATCTTTAATATTTCCACAGCCTTTTTTCTCATATGATAGTGACATTTGTAAAGAATATAGTTCCCCTGACTTCTTTTTTCCCTGAGTTTGGTTTTGTCTGATGCTTTCTTATAAGATTCAAGACATACATTCCAGGCTGGCCGTGGTGGCTCACACCTGTAATCCTAGCACTCTGGGAGGCCGAGGCGGTCGGATTGCTCGAGGTCAGGAGTTCGAAACCAGCCTCAGCGAGACCCCGTCTCTACTAAAAATAGAAAGGAATTAATTGATCAACTAAAAATATATATACAAAAAATTAGCCAGGCATGGTGGCACATGCCTGTAGTCCTAGCTACTCGGGAGGCTGAGGTAGTAGGATTGCTTGAGCCCAGGAGTTTGAGGTTGCTGTGAGCTAGGCTGATGCCCACAGCACTCACTCTAGCCTGGTCAACAAAATGAGACTCTTGTCTCAAAAAAAAAAAAAAAAGATACATTCCTGACCAGAATATTATTACATATAAGTGATGCTGTGTCCTCAGTGTATCATCTCAGGCATACAATGTTCATTTGCTTCTCACTGGTGAAACTAATTTTGATCACTTGGTCAACATATTGTTTGATTTCCCCACTGTCTTGTTATTATGTTTTCCTTGCAACTAGTAAGCAATTTGAGAGACAATTTAAGACCATGCAAATATATTCCGCCTGATTAAAATTTCCTTATATTTAATATCCAGTGAGGATTCTTGCCTCAGTCTTTAATATGATGATCCCAAACTGATGACATACCAAAACCATCCTTCCCTCCATATTTATCAATTGTTACTCATTCTACTGTAAGCAAGTGCTCTCCCTTCTCCCCTATTAATATATTTATCTATTTATTACTGGTATGGGCTTATTGGTTCTCATTTTTTTAATTGCTTACATTCATACTATGCCTGTTGTTTTGCTGTTCAAATTGTCCCAGATTTGGCAAGGAACTCATTTACATTGGCTCTCCTGTGTATTTTCGACTTGCCCTATCCTTTGTTGGACATTTCCTTACTTTCTGGCCCTACAAGATGTTCCAAGTTCATTTTGTACCTTTCCCTGCCCTAGTCCTGGAATCAATCACTTCTCTAACGTGCTCTGGTTCCTTTTATTAGAGAATGGCATTTAGAAACCAAGATCTGAGCACTTAACATGCTCATTTCTACCAGGGTATTATTGTATCCAGGCCCTCTCAGTGGGCAGAACTAAGGAAAATATGCATGTAGACTAACTCACACATATATCTATATTTGTTTCTGTATCTATTTGTGTATAAATATTAAAATCATGAGTTCATACTGACGTCTTCAATTCCAATCCAGCACTACTAGCCTCTTCCCTCTTTCCTTATTTATCACTTCTTTCTCTGGCAGTGAGAAACCTGGTTGTCATTATCTATGATGTATTCAACTTATTTGTTTAACCCTAATATACAGTGGTCTCAGAATTTCTAACCCATACCCTGGTAATAAACAAATTTACTTACTAGAGTATATTGTTTGTACATAGTTGTTTTTGTTTCTCAAGTTACTTAGGTTAGTTCTTTTCTTCTTCATCCCTTTCAGTGTGGTTATATTATTTTGTAATTCAATTAGGTTCATTTTTCACTGCTTGTGTTCCATTTTGGATACTCCCTCATTCTGGCTGACTTTAATTATTAATTTTTGGGTATGTGCAACAATACTATAGCTCTGAGAGTCAAAGCTGTACAAAAAAGTATGCTCAGAGAAGTATCATTCCCTCCTCACCCCAAGTAACCTGTTCCCCTTCTTCTGACTGCTTTCTACATCTTTCCCATCCATACCTTGTAGGTAACTAGCCTAGTTTCTGGTTTATAGTTCTTTTATTTCTTTTGCACAAATGAGCAG